TATCTGCGAAGATACCGGAATCCAGGATAATCGGATAAGGGACAAGAGTCCTAGAATGAGAGAGGACTTTAGTTTGGGTAAATATAAGACTCTTAAAGAGTTTATCCTAATCCTACTAGGAGTCCAAGATTAGCAGTAATCCTAAGTCCATTGAAGCTAGGCTTCTATTGGGACTAGGTTTGTGCTGGCTATAAAAGAGAGGCACTCCCATGGGTCTAAGGTACGCTTTTTATGTTCTGAATAGTGAGTTAATCTCTTTTGCTATCTTTGAGAGATAACTGACTTGATCGTCGGAGTGTCCCCGGGTGAACGAACCACCGCCGGAATCTCTTTTTTTGTGACAGGTCGTTCGGGCTTAATCTATTCTGCCAGTGTTCTCCAGCTGAGTGCTTGATTGACAGTGTGGTCGGAAATTGACACACACAGTAACCAAACAAAATTTTGAGATTTTTTTTGAAAAAATTTGTTTGGTTTGATTACTCTTGAAAATTTGTTTGTAGATAATTTTTTCCAAAATTTTTTCTGAAAAACAAACCAAACAAGGCCAAAATGATTCCTCCCCTAATTTGGAAGCTTTAAAAGAGCACTAACGATGTGAAAAATTAAAAAAAATAAAATAACAAAGTCAAAACATCACATTATATGGGATCTATAAATCAATTAAAGCTATTAGAACTCTTAATTTAGAATTCCTAATCTTTTTTCCTACCCACAATTACCCCAAAAAAAAAAAAATTTAAATAAAAGAAAATTACGTTTTAATCCCTTTCAGGATTTTTCACCTTAGCTTCTTGTGTTTTTTTATTCTAATTATTAAGAGAATCAACGATGAATAGGTATGCAAGAATTTGCTAGTGTCATACATTAACTTACAATAACAATTAACAATATTTTTTACTCTAATCGTATTGTTAACTTGTTAATTAATTTATTATTTGTTAAGTTATTTGCTAACAATATAGAGTATTCTAAGCCTTTGTTTGCCAACTTGGTTTGGGTTGGGTTGAGTTTAGGGTTATTTTAGCTAAAAAAAATAAAATAGATTTTTTAGCATTATAAAACGAAATGTCACATCCAATCCATAATCATTACATTCTTTTTTTCACAAAAAATTAAAAAAATCAAAAAATCTATTTTAAACGAGACTTTTTAGTTCCATACGAAAATAATTAAAAAATAAAAAAAATCAACCCATTTCCCAAACGAACTCTAACTAATATATAAACAATGAGGGAATAGGTTTGGATCATCAAGACACATTCACTTTTCAAATTAACAGTCACTTAACACATAAATATGTCTTATTATTTATATTCTTTGTTAACACATTTTAATATGTATATATATATATATATATTTTAATTACATTATTAGATATTTTACATTATTAGATATTTTCAATACTATTTCTTTAGGCATTATGCAACAGTTAAGTTATCTCCAATGGTGTATTATTTTTTTCACCAAATTTGAGTAAATTATTTTTTTGATATTATCTGCTCCAACGAAAGGATTTAGCTTTTCATCAAATCACCAGTCGACTAGACGGACGACAAGGCGGTTGATTGGCCAATTAACTGGTCAATGTAAAATTTTCACACTGGAACAAGGAATAACATTAGTGACCAAAATGATAAGGAGTCATTCGGGGGTCGACCTTGTAGTGTAAAATTTCGCAAAATTTTGCCTTGAGGTGGTTATCCAGGAGGACATTTAGGGACATCCGGTGGTGAAAATACAACAGTGATGAACAGTGATTTAATAAAAGGTACAAAACATCTTCAATTTAGTGAAATATTTTGTATATTCTCAATTTGATATAAGTTTAATAAAACTATTGAAACAGCAAAAAATAAACTTTTTTCACCAAAAATTTAGTGATAGATTTGATGCAACGTTAGATGGCTTTAGAGCATCTCCAATGGCAAGCTATTTGAGCTGTCATTGCCAAAATTTGACAAGAGTTTTAAAAAATATTGCTCCAATGGGTTGCTATAACCCCTGCCAAGTTTGGCAAATGCCATTTCATCTCTCAAATTTGGCAAAAAGTTTGGCAATTGCCAAACTTGCCTACATCATCCAAATAAACAAAATTTGGCTCCAAAATTTTCATGGAAGAAATAAACACAGTGAAACAATAATATACTAGAGATAGAACAATAATATAAAATAAAATAAAAAAACATAGTGGAACAAAAAATTTGCCATTACAATAGATTTTTTGAGAAATTATTACCAGAGATGGAACAATATATTCCAACTTTCCAAATTTCAACATACCAAACACAAAATCACCAAATTTCAACATACCAAATTCAGAATTACCAAATTTTCAATAATCCAAATTTCAGTTTCACCAATTTGAAGCAAACAATTTTTTTAAAAAAAAAATTAGAAAATGAGCACAGTGAAGTAAAAAAAAAAAAAAAACTTGATAGTGAGAGAGAGAAGAGAGACAGATGATCTTCTTTGTGTTCTTTGATACAGATGATTCTATAGATGATACAGATGAGAGAGGGAAGTGCCTATCCGTGAGAGAAAACGACCGATCAGTTGGATAGAGAAGAGATAAAGAAAGAGAATGAAGAGTGAGATAAAGACAATGGTAGGGGTAGAGAGAGACGGAGGTGATGGACGGAGAAGAGAGAGACGGATAGCAGAGAGAGAGACTTTCGGTGATGGAGGGAGAATAGATGATATTTGCGAGAGAGAGAGAGAGTGAGAGAAAGGAGGTAATGATGAAACCAAATAGAGAGAGAGACAAAGACTAAGAGAGAGAGATAGAGAGAGAGAGAGAGAGAGAGAGAGAGAGAGAGAAAAGAGACACATAGACGATGGTGATGAAACCAAATAGAGCCGTTTTGCTCTATTTGGCTAAAAAAAAAAATTAAAAAAAACAAAAGCTAGTTTGTGTAAAAAATAAATATGTAGTGATATGTTTTTGGGTGGGGTGAATTATATTTAATTTTTTTTTCCCAAATTTTCAATTTTTTTCAATTTTCATATTTGTCTAGTTGAGAATAATATAAATATATATATTTTTTTACAAACAGTTAAAAAAAGGTCACAAAAGACAAAAAATAAACAAAAATAAAATCACAAAAAAATCTATATCTAAACAACACCTATAAACTTAGATGAAAAGTTAGTTGAAATTTGCCAAAATAGCAAATGACCATAAATTATAGCAATAATTGATATTATAATAACAATGGTTTGAAATGCTTTTATATGCCAATATTAGAGGGGCTCCACATTCCCCACTTTTGTATAATTGATTTTTTATAGGACCGTGCTAGAGAGCTCCCCGAATCTCCCTAATTTCTATTTTTTTTTTCAGAAGCAGAGAAGGAGAAGAGAAGGAAGGAGGCAGAGGAGAAGGAGGAAGGAGGAGGAGGAGGAGGACGAGGAGGAGTGGACTGGAGGGGGCCATAACAGTGGGAGGAGGCGGAGGCGGGCCGGAGGCGACGGCGGAGCTACTGCTGCGACGATCGGACCTGGGCGACGGGCTGGGCGATCGGTGGCGACGGGCTGGGCGACGATCTCTTCCCCTCTTCTTCTCTCTTTCTCTCTTCCCCTCTTCTTCTCTCTTTCTCTCTTCCCCTCTTCTCTCTTTCTCTTTCTCTCCCTCTCCCTCTTCTGCGTTGCAGGTCGAAAATGGAAGAAGGAAAAAAAAAAAAGAAAAGAAAATGACCAAAACGACGTCGTTTTGGCCATTAGGGGGATTCGGGGGAAAGAATTTCGGGGGGACAAATCATTTTCCTTTTATATATATATATAATATATCTTATTTACTAAAAAAAAAACATAAGTTAAAAAAAAAAAATTACATGTAGGTCTTAATAGGTAGATTTATTGTTTAATAAATTCTGTGATAATTAATAATATTTTTTATCAAATATTATTAAAAAAGTAACTAATTGTTAATTTTTAATGACAGTTTAAAAATTTTATCACAAAAATTGTCATTAATTATAGTGATGGTTTTAAAAAAGGTCACTAATTTTTAACTTTCAGGGATAATTTGAAAAATTCATCACAGAAAAATATCACTAACTATATATTTTAGAAACAATTTATAAAAATTGTGACAAAAAAAATCATTAATTACAAATTTTTAGCGACAATTTTACTAAAATTTATTTTCAATAGTACTCTATAGCAGTCCAATTATTAGAATCTATTGATATTTATCCTAAAAAAAATTCCAAATATATTTTAAAAAATACAACTAAGATATTCGTGTGATTGGTTTTAATTTTCTAAAAATTGATTTTTTTTTTAAATTTTATTTTTAGTGAATATTTTTTAAAGTTTAATTATTATTATTTTTTACTTTTTTAGATGCACCTTACTCAGATGTATCTAAAAAATAAAATATTTTTTTAAAAATATTTTAAAAACTAATAAATACACAAAAATATGAAAAATGTATTGAATTTTCATTTTTTTTTTGGTATTTGGTGAATTTTTTTTTAAAAAATTTACAAATATTATACTTTTTAAGTGTATTTATGTTAGATATGTCTAATTTTTTTTTAAAAAAAATCAATAAAAACAAAAAAAAAATACTCAAAATAAAAAAATAAATTCTTAAAATCAAAACTAAACGGATTGATTATTATTTATTTTATCTTTTATATTAACCATTCTCACTATTTTTCATCAAATTTTTAACTGAACATTTTGGTGTATTTGCTTTACTTTTGAGAGAGTAATTTTTTAAAAAAAAATTGGAAAGGGAGTTTAGAATTTTTTTTGATTTGTTTGGTAGTATATTTTGAAAATAGTTTTAGAGTTTGAGAGTTTGAAATGATTTGATATTTTGTTATAATTGAATAGATATGTGTAAGAGAAAAAAAAATTGAGAAAGAGAGAGAAAATAAAAAAAATAATTGATTAATGTAAAAGAAAAATAATAATTTTAAATTTAAAAAAAAAAAATCACAAATCAAATAAAATTTTAAATTTTTTTTTTCAAAAACAGCACTTCCAAAATCAAACCAAACAAGCCCTTTATACTTGGTCAAATTCCGCGACACGAAGGGGCTGAGCTGAAAGCCTCGTCCCTTCACTCACAGGTAGAAGGCAGAACAAAACCCGAAGTGCGAGCGAGTGCAGATTAGAAGGCTGATGATGATCTCCGTAAGAGTAAGAGTAAGGGTAAGAGAGATGATGAAGTATAGTCGTCTGGTCTCTGCTGGAGCATCATCGGTGGCGAGATGGCTTTGCACGGCGGCGGTGGAGACGGAGGCGGAAGTTACGCGCCGTCGTGGAAGGGAGGGGCGGCTGTACCGGAGGTTGTCGGAGTTGGGACTCACCGGCGGGACCGCGGGACAGGCGTTAAATCAGTACATTAGGGAGGGCAAAATCGTCAAGAAATATGAGCTCCTGCGATGCATCAAGGAACTCCGCAAGTACGGTAGCTACAAACATGCCCTCCAGGTTTTTAGCCCTCCTTTGATCTGACTTAATTTGATTGTTAGCAGTGTGGTGTGTACTAATTAATTTTCTTTGATTTTTAGTAGGAGTATCGTTTTTTTGTGCCAATTTCATTGACGTTATATTTGATTAGATTTTTTGGATGAATGTGTCAATTTTAAGATAGAATTGGAATAAATATTTGTGTTGATTGTGAAACCTTGAAATATATTGGCAAAAGATGTCTTATTAGTTGCTGAGAAAATGGTGAAAAGTTCTAACATTTTGGATGCTACTACATTTGGGCATCAAGAAAATTCTGAGAGAAATAGTTTTTATTTTTTTCCCCTCCGAAAAGATGTCGTAGTGGCTGATAAAATGGTGAAAACACATGCTATTGTGTTGGATATTAGACTTTCTCCATTTGGGCACCAAGAAAATTCTGATTCAGAGTCTAATAGAGTAAGTTTCAGCTTATGGCAACCCAAGCTATGCAAAGGATGATGTCAGAAATTTCCCCTTTGTCTTGGTTTCACTATTGGATTTGTGTGCTGAAAATTTTGGTTGTTGAAGTTTATATACCACTGTGAATATGGTACTGAATTTCAGTGTGAAACTTTATTTGGATAATACCATTTTGAATATGCAAGTATTTTGTATTTTCTCTTATGCAACCATAGTCCACTCTATATTATTTCAATGCACATTTTATCTTTTATGGCTTATCTTCTGTGTGGATTTTAGATGTGAAGATTTGTCTTCCCCCCTTCAAAATTAACCTAATTTGTTTCAAGAAATGACTGTTTTAACTGTATCTTGATTTGTTTGATGCAGATAATGGAATGGATGGAGATGAGAAACATTAACTTTGCATTCCGTGATTATGCAACACGTTTAGATCTTACATCAAAAGCCCAAGGGATAGCTGAAGCTGAGAATTACTTCAGTGGCCTCTCACAATATGCAAAGAACCAATGTACTTACGGAGCCCTCCTAAACTGCTATTGCAAAGAAAAAATGACAGATAAGGCATTGGCTCTCTTCAAGAAGATGGATGAAATGAATATTGCCTCTACTTCTGTGGCGTTTAACAATCTTATGTCCCTCTATATGAGATTAGGTCAGCCTGAGAAAGTGCCTCCCTTGATCGAAGAGATGAGACACAGGAACATCCCACTGGACACATTTTCTTATAATATCTTGATGCATAGCTATTCGTGTTTAAATGATATCGAGGCAGTAGAAAGAGTTTTTGAGGAGATAACGGAGGAAAATGAAAAAGAGTGTGATTGGACAACATTTAGTAATTTGGCTGCAGTTTATGTCAAGTATGGACTTAACGAGAAAGCTGAGTCAGCTCTTAAAAAGTTAGAGGAAGAGATGGGACCTCGTAGCCGTTATGCTTACCATTGTCTGATTAGTTTGTATGCTGGTACATCCAATTTAGACGAGGTCCATCGAGTTTGGAATTCCCTGAAGTCGGGTTTTCCAAAGACGACTAATGTGAGTTATCGTGTTATGCTTCATGCTCTTGACAGACTGAATGATATTAATGGCCTAAAGAGATGCTTCGAGGAATGGGAGTCGAGTTACTCCAGCTATGATATCAGGTTAGCAAATGTTGCTATAAGTGCTTACCTAAAAAATGACATGATCGTAGAAGCTGAATCGGTCCTTGATGAGGCCATCAAGAGATCAGAAGGACCTTTTTTTAAGGCTTGGGATATGTTCATGATGTTCTTCTTGAAGCAACGTCGAGTGGATTCCGCTTTTAAGTACATGGAGTCAGCTTTGGGGCATCCAAAATCTGAAAGTGTTGATAAAGTTCTGAAGTATTTTGAGGAAGAGAAAAATGTTGATGGTGCCGAAGAGTTATGCAAGACGTTGAAGAAGGTTAATTGTCTTGATTCCAAGGCCTATGATTCTTTGCTTCGAACATATATTGCCGCTGGAAAATCAGCACCTGATATGCGGATGAGGATAGAGGCAGATGGTATTGAAGTGAACAGCGAGTTTGAGAATTTGCTTGAAACGGTTTGCCCCAAATGAGTTGGGGAGTCCTCTAGTATCCCTGACAAAGCAAACAGTTTTTAGTAGTTTCATTCAATGTGGATGGTAAAAGTTTCTGTCATGTATAACAGTTACATCGTGATACATTATTTTTTTTTTCTTTTTTAACAGGAAATTACATTCACAATTTGACCAGTGTCATTTTCTGGGTAAACAGAAGGGAAGCTAATCAGATTCCAACACAACTATAGAAATGCTTTCTAGTGGTGACCAAGAGCTTTAGGAGTCTTGTATGTCTTTTAAGCCTTGTAAATTTTGACATAGCCTCAGGGTTGTGAGAGAGTTTCTTTTGGATTGTTATGTTTTCTTCGTATGATTCGATGAAGAGATTTGTTGCCTAATGCATTTGTCATCATGTGACTCTTGAGGATGTCTTGTGCATCATTGTACATCTTTATTGTTTAGTATATTAACCTTCTACTTACCAGAAGAAACAAAAATATCAGACAGTTTCAGAACAAGAAATCAGAAGTAGAAACTTTCTATGCATAGATTAATCTGAAACAGGGACCGCAATAGGAAGTTGGTGACCTAATTCATCAGGAATTATAAGCAAGAATGCACTAGGTATTTTATCCAGCAAACCAACAGAAGAATGTCTCTTAATCCAAAATGAAACAAAGTCATTTACCATAAAGGAAGCACATTGACTGTAAAGATTTAGTACAAAGGGGGAGGAAAAAAAAAATTTGAGAGAGAGAGAGAGAGAGAGATAGCAAAAACCAGAGTATGTTACAAAATGAGAGAGAGAGAGAGCAAAAACCAGAGTATGTTACAAAAGAATTTTAGTATCACCCTATCTTGTCTACAGTCTTGATCTCAAGAACATTCCGTATTTCATGTCCACTATAAAGCAATGTGTATCATCAAGGTTTAAATAAAAAAACCATATTACAAAATAGAATTGGCAAGCTCTTCTTTGTATCACAAGCAGGAAAAAAATAAAAAATTCCAAAGACTTCAATCCATATACGAAAACACCTCAGAACAGGAGCAAAAGATATGCTTTACTTCCCATAAACCTCTTGCTTGCTTGGTGATTATCAGCACGTTGGCATCTAAGAAGGGGAAACCATGCCATTGAAAGAAGCTTTAAACTGATAAAACCACCTTCAAACCTTCTCTTTCATAGTCACATTGATGATTCCTATTGGAGATTTAGGTCGATAATGTTCATCCGTATCCACCTCTTCAATTTCCTGGTAAGCACATTGCAGGACATGCATTCAAACATCAATAAAGAATATGATTTAATGACTCAAAAACTAAAAGCATGACATATCTTTTCCCCCATTAACTTAACATGATCCAACTGGCTTGACATAGTGCCATTTGACTATATTAACGACAAATGCAAGCATCATTTTTTTTTTGGGGTTTTTTTTTTTTTTTTTTTTTTTGGCCCAATGTAATGGGCTAAGACGATTGGGGAGCCACCACCACACCACCCAAAAAAACTTTACTAGTTTATCGAGATAAAAATCTCAACTTAATATATACAAGATTTATATAACAACAAATGTGTTATAGCCTCCTTTTTTTTCAGATTGGATACAGTAGCATTAGAGTACTACAAGCAGCTGCCTTGTGTTGAATCATCATGAATCCATGTCAATTTATCACCATAAAAGGAGATGGTCCTATTACATTGTCTCAAGAATTTGGTAGTCTCAATCCTATGATACAATCATTCATTGCCAAAATAAATAAAAATTCCCATCATATTCTTCATGAAAAAGTTTGAGAATAAATATGATCATGGTTCATATGTCCAGAAAGAAGAGACTCTCAATTGCTCCTAGTATGTAACAACTTTAAGTAAAACATCCACATGATCATAGTTTACAAAAATCAGAGAGAGATAGAGCAAAAGGCTTATAACCTGAACAACATCCTCTCCCTTAATGACCCGCCCAAACACAATCAGCTTCTCATTTAGATCAGGGATTGGTGCAGTCGTAATAAAAAGCTCGAATCCCTCTTTGTCATGTTTAGCCTTTGTAGTACCAAGCATAAACGCCTCATGCTTCATGCTGGATGAAAATCACAAATTCAGTAACTAGGATAGAATAAGAAACTATAGAGGTAAAAAGGGAACTCCACAGGTTGGGTCAACAGGGGCGCAAACCTTGTTTCAAGTTGGCTGTTTTGCTTTACTTTCAAAGTCCAATCGTCTGTAGCTCCAGGTATATCAGAATTACCTCCTTGAATCACAAAGTTCTTTATTACATGGTGAAAAGGCATCCCCTTGAAGTGCCCCCTCTGACTGAAAAATCGTTTCAATTTAAAATTTCAGTGTATGTACAAAGTCAAAAATTATCCCCCCAGGTGGAAGGCTTGCGTGGAGACTGCCTACACCATTTTCAAGTGATGTATTACATAAAGATGATGCACTAAGCATATGCAATAATTGAACTACTTCTTTAGTGCAAAGATCAAATTGATGATATGTGTTTTGATTATACACTTACAACCATCAGATTGCCCAACCAAATTAAAGTTTCCATAGCTTTGCTTGACTGAAGGCAAAGCTTGAGGTTCAAGTAAAATGATAGATTCCAAAAAAATTATGTGATGACATGTTGGAGAAGCATAAAGACCACAAAAACACTAAACCCTCTATCTCACTGCTGTTAACATGTCTAAAGAACCACTCAAGTGATCAACTACGTACAAGGAAAAAAGTGCAGTAAGCAAATAAGTAAATAAGGATTTGGGAAACCAACAAGGTCAGCCATGTGAACAATGAAAATAAGAATCCACAACAATGGATCGAAATCTAATAGAGTTGAGTCCAGTACCCACCATAAGTCAATAAATTCATCAACCACCTCAGGAGAGCCTTCTTTGTATAACTCGATTGTTATTGACCCTTTTGAGGTATTTAAAATCTGTTAAAACAGGAAAAACAAAAAAATATACAAGTATTTCAATAAACAATAAACAATAAAATTTTGAGAAGACTCTCCAAAAGAACTTATACCCCTGCATGTCCCAATAAAAAGAAAAAAGATAAATGGACATTATGCGAAAACAACAAACAGAGAAATGGAGAACTAAATGAAACTTTATTAACAAAACAGTAGCTCCCTGCCACATATTGGTATCTAAGCTAAAGCCTGTAGCATCCTCTGAACTGACCAATAAGTGAAATGATTTCTCAGGAGCAGATTAAATCTAAAAGCAATACTTAATATAGTGGATCGACATTTAAAATAAGAACAAAATAAAAGCAATTTACAATGACTAGGATATAAAGAAACTCACAACATATCCGGGGACATCAGATTTCTTTCCATCTGCAAAAGCATCGTCACGCTCACGCTGCAGCACACACAGAACCAAATACGAAGAGAAAGAATAAAGAAATAGTGATGGTCACTTAAAAGGAATTTGTTCAAACCTCAATAGCATTAACACTGTATAATAGACAAACACAAAAACACACACACACACACAAAGTAAGATAAACTTAATAAATCTTTAATTGTCATTATAAGTCGTCATTATGGCTTAAAAGGCAAAGAGAGACGAAGATATCAGCAATTTGTAAGTCCTTCTAATCAATAACCAACACTCATGCTCGCGAAAGGTACAACAACAACAATAATACACAGGTAACAACATTATCCAGAAAAGAGTACCTCAATAACTGATAACTGATGCTCTGTTTGAATAATTGACCTAAACACAAGTTAGCAGATAAAAGTTAAAAGCCATATAAAGCCCTCTTTGGTCTATAAAATAATGATTATTTCAAGTGGTTCTATTTTGTTTCTAAATAAATGCAGATACCACTGCAACAGACCTCCTGAAGTATTTCAAAACACCAGGTCCAGGATTAAATTAAAACTCTTTTTATCACTTATTAAATACATGGGTTGTTGCTAAATTTAGAATTCAGAAATCATTCCAAGAAAACCGATACAGGTCTTTCACCAAACCCACAAGATTCAAAACATATGAAATAATAATCAAACTAAAAATTAAATTTGGTTAACAAGATACAAGGTGTCATGCTAGTCCCTCTGAATCCCAATTTATCAAAATAACAAGTATTAATTCATCAAAGAAGATTCCAACGAACCTCTGAATCCAATGTCTGTAAGTAGCAAACAGGAAAAACACCATCACAACTATAATTAAGCTGTACAAAATAACTGTAGTGGCACCGATACGACTTGGACCCTTCTTCTTCTTGCTCTGTTGTAGCAGAGCTTGAGGTTTAATCCTTGCCATGATGTATAAGCCTCAACTCCCAAGGACTACAAAATCCCAGGATCCAGCACTCAGTTCCAAATCTCTATAACCAAACACCATTTAAAGGAACTCCATAACGTATAAATCAAACAGCCAGGTTTTGGATCCAATCTGAACTTTCATAGAACTTCATAGGTATCTTTGAATAAGAAACACACACAATAACCAGAATTCAAGAGGGTCCAAAGTTAGAGATACATAGATAAGTGAGAAAAATAAAAACTTGGGATTTTTTTTTGAAGTTTGATCTACAACCTCATACTAACAATCGATTAGACAGCTATGAAGTAACAAAAAATTACATAGAAAAGTAAACAAAAACCCTGCTTGGTTACTGAGAAAAAATTGAAGTTTTAAATGTTAAAGATCTCAACATAATTCAATCGACCCAGTACTTGACACACAAAAATGAACAAAATCGAACCATAGGACCAAGATTTGGATTGAACGATAGAGATTTACGTACCGTGAGAGATATGAAGAGATCTTTGGGTTCGTTCTAACAGAGAAGACAATCCCGTCGAATCATTCAGAGCGAATTTCGACTGTTGAAATGGCCGAGTCGTTTGTTCTGATTTCATGGTCGTCGATCGATCTATCCACCTATCTATCTGTCAATGCCCTTTTTTATTTTTTCTTTTCCATGTCTTTCCTAAACTACAAATCACAAATAATAGAAAAATATCATTGAATTAAAAAAAACAAATACAATGAAATACAAATCACAAATACAGACTTTTGGGAAGCCATGGTTTGGGTTTTTTTGACTATTTTAGTCACAAAAAATAAAATAGGCTATTTTAACCATAACAAACAAAACATCACATTCAACCCATAATCATTACATTCTTCTCTCACAAAAAAATTCAAAAAAGTCAAAAAGTCCTTCCCAAACCAAACTTTTAAGCCCAGGTTAAAATAGCCAAAAAAACCCAAAAAGTCAAAATGCCAACCCACTTCCTAAACAGAGGCACAATAAATAATAGAAAAATATAATTGAATTAAAAAAGACAAATACAATGAAATCTAATAAAAAAAAACAAACACAATGAAATACAAATCACAAATACAATAAATAATAGAAAAATATCATTGAATTAAAAAAGACAAATACAATAAAATCTAATAATTTTGATAGAGTCAGTCAGGCTCACTCTCCTTTTAGTGACTGATGTTATTATAATGATGGTAAATTTGATTAAAAAAAATTTTGGTAAAAAGATGCCACTATAAAAAACAGCTATTTGGTACAAAGAAAGTAATCAGTATGGTTAGTTTTAATTTTTTAAATTCAGTTTTTTAAAAATTGAGTTTTTTATTTTTCGTATTTTTTTATTTTTTTAGTGAATATTTTTTAAATTTTAAATAATTTTTTAACTTTTTTAGATGTATCTAAGTAGAAAATTATTTATGAAAAAATATTTTTAAAATTAATAAATACATAAAAATACGAAAAATGTATTGAATTTTCGTTTTTTTTTTTTTTGCATTTTTTGTATTCAGTGAATTTTTTAAAGATTTTTTTTCAAAAATATTATACTTTCTAAGTGTATTTATGTTAGGTAGGTTTAAAAATTTTAAAAAATTAATTAAAATATTAAAAATATTCCGTGAAAATAAAAAAATTCAAAAAACAAAAAGTACAATTTTTAAAAAAGTGAATTCTGGAAATTGGAAACAAATAGAGCAAATATTGTCTCATTTGTTGACCTATTTTTTATTTTTAAATTGACAGGGTAGAGGAAAATATTATTCAGTTCAAACCTCAAACAAAAATAGTGTAATTATCAAAATTACGAAACACACTGTTACTTTTTAAATTCTCACAAAACTCAATATAATTTACTCAATATATATAATTATTACTGTAAGATGTTGTCATATTTTTTACTTTGGAAGTATTAATTAATCAATGCTTTTCATATTAAAGTATTAATCAAGAACTTGCCGTCTTCCATTAAAAGCCTGGAGTGGGTGCCAATCTGTGAATCCGATGCCAGTGCCACCATAATTTGTGAGTATCCTTTTTTCTTACCAATTCCAACCCGAATATTCGAGAGCTTTATCTCTAAATTTATTTTTTCTACTTTTTAAAAAATAATAAGTTTGTGAAAAAAATATGAGGAAAAAAAAAAAATACATAATAATTTTCAAAAACTAAACCAAACAAAAGAAAATTTCATGTAATCACATATCTATATTCCTGTGTCATCTCAAATTAGCCTTTTCCATTTAGCTCTGGTTTTCCTTTAACAGCACAACCATCTGTTTAACTTGTAGAAAGCTGCATTAGGAAAAGGACTACTTGCTATATATGCCAGATGAAAAATGCTTGGGAGCACTAATTAGTGCTCCCACTAATTAGGTAGCAGTGGGTTCCGCCATTAATGATGTGATGTTTTGTTTTGTTTTGTTTTTTTTTTTATAACTTTTTTAATGCATTAGTGCTATTAGTGGTGATATTTTTAGTGGGATGAATCATTGTTGTATGCCAGATATTTGGAGACAACTTCTCAAGCAAATTTTTTTTTTTTTTTCTTTTCATGTTTAACTGCATTTTTGTAAAGACTGGAGCAACTCGAGGCAGATAACAAATTAACAAATGAATTTCAATAGGGGAAACAAATTAACAGAGGGTGAATTCAAATTACAGCGCATAAGGAATACGATAACAACCAGTGTATGGATGTTCTAGAGATTGTCTACAGGTGTAAATGGCACGCCCTTGGGGTTGGAAACTCGATGCCCAACAAAAACTGACAGGCTGAAAGCAAATACAGAAAAGAAAAGGGAGAAGGCAGTTCCAGCATCCCATGGGTTATTTTCTGGTTTGTTGGTGGATGCAGAACTACCTGAAACAATATCCTGAGGTACCCAATCGCAGCTAACAGAATAGTGCCCCGATCCATGCCATGGATTCCCATCTATGGGGTACCAGAAAGCAACTGATGCATTGCTTGATTTGCCAATAGTGAACTGAGCATCCTGCAGATATCGCAAACAACAGATAATTTACACATTGCTGCAATGAATAGTATTTTTTCCACAATACACACATTAACATGAACCTAAACAGCATATCTATCTCAAGATATACATTTGCATGCCTTCAAGTTGGACAAAATTGATGGAAACAATTTATTCTTCACATGATTCTTCCAGAAAGTCATATCACATGATTTGGCAAGCATTGCATGAAATCATGTGGATGTAAAATCAACTGATAAATGAATTTTTATTTCAAGAAATGACTTGGACTGACAGCTAACAGATCTTATATTTTGAATGGAAGGGTGCATCAGAAGTCCCAAAGTGCATAGGCAGTGGCTAATGAACGATCCACTATTAAATGGCAGAAGAGGAGATCAAATGTTCTGTATAGACTTTTTTATTTTTTTGATGAATCAAATGATCTGTATAGACTTTGATGTGGTGCTATGAATGGGCTACAAAAAGTGCAGATATAGTATTAGAAAAACCCAAATGTATAACAAATCTAGCCTAAGAAGTAGCTCAAGGTTTTTACCTGTTGAAGATGATCCATAGTTCTTGTGTGAGTGATTTTCCGATCACATTACCCAACTCAGTATTCAGCTGGAGAACACTGGCAGAATAGATGACACCTGGCTAACCTGTAACAGAAAGAGAAGATTTCGGCGGTGGTTCGTTCACCCAGGGGCACTCCGACGATCAAGTCAGTATATCTCTCAAAAATAATCAATAGTACTTAACTCACTAGACAGAATATAAATTGCGTACCTTAGACCCATGGGGGTGCCTCTCTTTTATAGTTACCTCAATCCTAATCCCAATAGAAGCCTAACTTCTATGGATTCCTATTCAGTACTTACTTTGGACTCCTCAAGAGATAAAGATAAACTCTCTAAGAGCTTTATCCTTATCTTGGCTAAATCTCTTCTTTATTCTAGAACTCTTGTCCCTTATCTCGGATTCCGATATCTTCGGAGATAACCTCGGCCTAACCGAGATGACCTCGGCATATCGACCAGGACACGTGGCACCTCAGCTGACACATCGGCGTCACCTTGCCACGTGTTGGTACTCAAAAATATATCCCCACAACTGCCCTCTAGGTTCTATTACCTCGATATTCTGAGGTGATGGAACCTATATCATTCCGTCCTTCCAGTACGTCGGTTTACAGTATCTCAGCTGAGATCATTATGTTGGCCGACATGTCTTTGTTAAAGAACAAGAACTTCAAGAATCCTTTCACGCGTATGAGCTGTCAAACACCACAATTCAACTGTTTCAGCTACGTGTCCCTTTCTTATTGGATTGTACTTGGCACGTGCTTCATAATCGTCTCGCACATACGTGCGCCGTCTGACGCTCACGTTGTCCCAGGCGCATTAATTGCCCTCTTTTGCCGTCGTTTCAAGTTTTTGACAAAACTTGTTTCCTTATTCTTTCGTGTTCTTCACTTTTACATCGATTCCTTTGCTTTTTCTCTCTCTAGCTCTTGAATACGCCATTGTTCCGGATCTCAAGCTCTGCAACTGCCTTCATTCTTCCTTCTGGTGAAGCTTCCGCCGTTTCTGTTACTTCTGCAACCATTGTCTGACTTCGGCGATCCTTATACCGGCTTCTTTTCTTCGGTAAGTTTATTGTTCCTTTCATTTTCCATTCTTTGATGTTTTCTATTACTCACTGCCATTACTGCATTTGTTCAAACCTTTAACTTGTGAATCATCCATCTGAATGTGTTTTTTCCATGATTTTGCCCTTGCCCATATCTTGAACACACGCACTCTTTCACCACTTCCCTGTATTTTTGCCACTGTTCTTGGCCCTATACTTCTTGTATTCTTTATGCTCTTGATAGACCATCTCTGTTCTTGATTCTGAAACTCGTTTTTGTTTCTGTTTTTTGTGTCTTTTCCAGATTCGTGCCTTCAGTCTTCGATTCCATAGACTTAGGTTTTGGGATTTGTCTGTAGAACCCATAATTTAGGAAAAAATTGAAACGAACTTCCTCTAGATCCATACAAACCTTTATCAAAGTGTACTTTTAGGTTTTTAGCCGAGGTCCTTTAAACCTTGCAAAAATACTTTTTCTTGAAATCCGATATCTCTATTCAAGCCGACATCATGGGCATGTGGAAACATAGAGTAAACACCCCATCCAAACTAGAATTCTTTAGACAAGAGTTTGAAATCCCAACCGACGTCCATCTGAGGTTGGCTGGGGATGATGACTCCATCATGCCTACTGATCACTCCATGCCCTTCCCTGTGGTAGCCTTCATTGAGTGTGGACTTTGGCTCCCACTCAACATCCTTTTTCGTGAAATACTTCATTATTACAAGTTGAACCCAATGCAACTTTCCATCAACTCCTATCGAACCATCAATGGTATCATAGCATTAGCAAAACAAGAGAACGCTAGGATCACATTAGCCGATATCCAGTATTGTTACACTATGTGTGGCCTTAAAAAAGACACCGGCTATGTTTACTACCTCAAGCCGAGGTCCACCGAATACAAAATTGTTGCCGACCTCCCTGACTCCAACAAGGGAGCTGGGGATGATTATTTCATTATTTCGGGGAATTGGGAGTTCGCCCTAGATGAAGACCTCCATCTCTTCCCTCTCCTTCGATCAGTCTTTGTAGAGGGCAATGGTAAGA